CACCAAAACCCTAGTCTAATTATCAAGGCCCCGAAATTGGGCCTTAAGGCTGGAGAGAAGGCCTCCGCTCTCGCCTGCAGGAAGTCAGCTGAAGAGCAACCTTGGTGCTCTTGGGATTCGATTTAAGCCCAAAATTTAAGGTTTAGGATTTTGGGGATTAGGGTTCAGGGTTTAGGGTTTAGGATTTTGGGATTTAATCTGAGCTCAGGGTTTAGGAGTTTAGGATTTTGGGTTTACGGTTTGATGTACATGGAGGTCAACGGTTGACCTATTCCTTCCGTGTATGGGGAACCCCAGTATAGAATCTTATGGTATCCTTCCTTTTATGGAGAACCCTATTATACAATCCTATGGTATCCTTCTCTTTATGGGGAACCCTGTTGTAGAATCTCAAACTACCCCGAAACGCAACCCGCTCATAGAACGTATAGTGCCTTCATGGGACAATGACACGAGGAGTACTTGGACAGACTATCCCAACACTCATATGTGCCCGATAAGCCCCTTATAAAAAATCCCAAAAACGCCGCATGTTTGCGCCGCGGGGCCTTTGGACAAAGCACGAAGAAAGCCCCCATTCAACCTCAGTCGAACCTTAAACCCCTTCTTATGTACAAGAAAGAAATAAATAGAAATTGTTGCTGCTGGCCATCCGGAAAGCTTTTTTTTCCGGTCGGGACACAACCTTTCCATTTTCTGATAAACCAATTTCCGCTTCAGGGTGAAGTAACCCGCACCAAGCCCCAGCCCAGCCCAGCCCAGCCCTCCCTAATGCGACGTAACAGGGCTCAGGATTCAGGCTTTCGTCTAGGGTCTTGAACCTGGCTCAAGATTTCGGGAACGATCAGGGCCCATAGGATCCCTCGTGGAGGGCATGGGGTGCAGGGCTTTGAGTATCTGTTTCAACATCTTCGCCGCCCCTTCAAACGCCAACAAACCTCGAAAGCAGCAAAAAGGAAAGGAAATGCCCAACAAACCTCAATGACCCGACCCTTCGAAAACGCAAAAGAACGCAACAAGCTCCAAAACACCTCCCAAAAAGCCCAAACCCAACAAGACTCAACCCAAAACCCTAAACCCTAAAGCCAAAATCCTCAAACCCTAGGCCCCTAGGCCTGCATTCGACCAGCTCGGTCGTGGAGGTCCGCGAATGTCGTTGACGCAGCTGCTTCTCACGTGCCTCGAACGGGTTGCTGGGATCTTTGGGGGAGATGAGGGTTTGGGGTGTCGGGGGGTCCAGGGTTTGGAGGTTCACTTCAGGGGTTCAGGGTTTAGGATTTGGGGCTTAGGGTTTGGAGTTTAGGGTTTGGGGTCTAGGGTTTGGGGCTTCGTGTTCCATAGCGGCTGAGGTCTTCAGGAAAAGATGAGGTTTGAAGAAAAGGCTCTGCGGTCTAGGCTCGAAGGAACCCAACCTGACACCCTGAACGAAAAAATCTCATTCCCTATCACCTCAATCGGCGAAAACCCAAACGAAACACAAGAAAAACTAAATCTACCGAACAAGCCTACACAGCTCTCTACATCGCGCAACACCAACTCAAAAATACCTAAACTTTTACCCCCCAAACCCATTACAAAGTCCCAGAACCTCTAGAACTTTTACAACCCCGAGAAAAAGCTCACCTGTAAACCCTAGACTCCCCAAGCTCCTTGAACTCCCTAGATCCTAAGCCCTAAATTCCCTAAACCCTAAACCCTAAACCCTAAACCCTAAACCCTAAACCCTAAACCTTAAACCCTAAGCCCTAAACCCGTCTCGGGATCTTGGGATCCTTCTTCGCAGGGCTACGCGCCCCCACCTGC